CCAGAGGGCATCCGTACATCCAGGACCTTTCGGGAATACTCGATTCCTCAACTTCGTGTACGAATACTACAAGGAGTGCTCTACCATCCTCGAGATGAATCCGGACTTCCACTTCATTCCTGAGCATGAACGAGAACATGGAGCCAAGGTATTCTGGTTGAGAGCCAGATTCAATGATTACTGGCAGCCAACACTTCAAGGTGAAGGCCAACATACAGAGAAACAATACATGGACTTCATCAAGAAGGTCTACAGTATTTGCTGCTATACCAATGCTCAGCCAGAAGTTTTCGGAACCGACATCATTCCGATGGTATGCCACAACCGCCATATTGATCTCGAGAAGACCGTCCAGAATTTTGAGCAGGTTTGCAAATATTTCAACATGGCTCCATCCAAGGCAAAACAGATCACCGACCTCATCCTCTGGCAAATCGAGCGATTGAGCAGATTGTTTTCCGGGTGTTTTCGACATGATCCAAAACAAGGCCACCACAGAGAATGCCGACGACAAGTGGACATGGGTCCTGACGGATCCGTTGAGCTCTACGACGCATTGGGATGCATTACCCATGCAAGGAACTTCATGGGCAATAAGCCAGGACTTCTCCTGATGGCTATGTTCCCGAACTGCGTTCGTGTATCCATCCGTGGATGGGCCATACAATGAGCGCAAGGCAAGGGGAACCGTTGTTCCAGGATCGACAACCTCACATCAAGATCCGCATACGATGCACTCCGGCCTAATGGCAAGGAAGTCCTCAATGATCCCGATACGGAGTTCTACGTGAGATGCAACAGCGGTCATATGTCATGCACGACAAGTCGATCTCCAATCTTTTGGACGACCCCTGTACTCTGGACACAAGAAGAACCGGACTACGATCTTCCAACACAATCCATTCCTCCAAGTCCGCATCCTTCAAGATCCGACGCGCCCCATGAAGACGAAGGCGCAGCTCAGGCAAAGTACAAAATGCGAAGGCCGGCGCCACAATCCACTGAAGAAGAGAGAAAGATCAAGCCGTTCGCGAAGAAGCCCATCACGTTCATGTTCCATGCAACATATGGAGAGCATTTGATCAACATCATGGAGAACGGGCTGAAATCGGGGAGGCTGAAATCTGGGAGATCCCAGTCAAACCCTTTGGGGAGAGCGCACATCCACATGGCATGCGTCGACGACGTTATCCTTGACGACGACGCGTCAGAAGCAGCATTGACACATGTGCCAACAGGAAGAGATGCATTGCTGATCCTGGCATTTCTCAAAGACCAGGCTACGACATCCGACTTTCCGAAGAGCGAACAGCATTGACAGAACAAACCATCGAGGCGAAGAATATTGTTGCAGCGTTTGATCCCGAGGGGAACATCATGATGAGCAACAACTGGATCATGGAGAGAAATCTCGGTCGTGAAGACATTGAGATGTACACCAGCAAGATCCAAGAATTCGCCGATGCCTTCTTCAAACATGTGAATAACGACCACCAAAACAAGGAAAAATCTGAAAAAGATACATCCACAGAGACCAAGAAGCGACGGCGCTCCACCGATCAGAAGAGGAGAACATGGAACCCTCCGGGGAGAGATCCGTCAAGCCGAAGGTCACCATGGAGTATCACAATCCCGAGAACCTAGAAGGGAAACACACCTTGAAATGTCATGGAATTGGACAATAAGAGCATTCCAGCTCGTCTAGCTTTCGTTCACTTCCCTTCTCTTGACCTCCCTTGTTTCCCAAAGAAACTTATAACTGGGCAAGAGGTTGGGAAAGAGAAGCCGAATAGAGGTGAAGAAAGAGGAATTCATCTGTAACCGCTGGAAAGAATTTCTTTTCTCGTTTCCATTCTCACCGTTGAAACGGCTGGGAAAGAAGAAAAATGAAGAGATAGGAAAGAGAATTAGAATGAAGAACCCAGATGACATGAAAGACATTCTGGGTTCTATCACATGACTAAGGGAAGCAAGTGGTTGGATGGCCATCCATCTCCTTGCCTTGGTGAGAAACAGAAATGAAGGGGAGAAAGGGTGGTGGAAAGGTGGTAAGATAGAGGCTTGAAATGAAGTGAGTGCGTGATAGAGATGACAGAGAGACTGATGTAGGCAAGGGATGGAAAGGTCATAAGGCCAGATAGTCATCCTCCCCTCTCGCCTTTTTTTCTCGGCATATCTTCACTTTCCAAGAATATTTTTCACAATCCTCATCCATCTCCCAGCCAATGAAAATGAGGTGAGGGGAGGGCCGTGAGATGGCCTCTCATTGGGTTTTTCCTCTCTTCGCCCTTCTCTCCTCTCTCTACCTCCCATCACCCAACCTCTGCTTCCGAGAAAAAGAGTTGGGGTGATAAAGGGAAGCAAGAAGGGGGGAGAAGTAAGCAATGGAGATTCCTTAGCCTACCCTTCCTTGAGATCTTATTGGTAGGCATCTCCTGTCTATAGACTCTCTAGACCCAATTATAAATTGATTATGGTAACCTCAGACACTTTAATCTACAGTCCTATCGCTTGGTCATGTCTGTACCACCTATTAATCACTTGTCTCTATTTTGCTCCATTGATAAGACTTCTTCTGAAGTCCATGACATCAATAATAATCGCAAGGCAAGAGAAACCCCAAGAGCTGAGAAAGACAATTAAACATGAGATACGTTAAAATAGATTATAAACAAAAGTTGAATTGGAATTAGTTTCTGGGTTGACCTGACCGTGCAAATCTGCGACGCTGCTATCCCCTTTTCGCGCAGATCAAGTGGCAAGTGCTGAAAAAGGAGCTGGTTCACATAATACGCATTGTTCCCTGCCACGGGGGGTGGGGGGGTACCTAATCGAGCTCGTTCAAAACCTAATCCCCAAAGATTAGCGGATTACGGATTGCACGGTTTACGGATTAGATTATGCGGCTTGCGGATTGCGGATTCTGGGGCGCGCAGATTTTCCATGCTCCAACATACGGTTTTGACCAAAAGTTGGAAGCGCGGATTACGGATTAAGAAGATTACCAAACAACACAAGGATTAAGAGGATTACGGCAGGATTTCAAGCAGGCTAGCTACATATATAAGTTATATGTATATTCATGCAATCTTCGGGGGGGCTATGGGGGGGGTTATCCCTGGATAAGCCCGGGATAACCCAAGGATAAACCCTTAATCAGGCCTTAGTAAGGGCTTAGACAGCCCCTCCTCCCCATAGCCCCCCTTTGGGGGTCCATGATATATATATATATATATAGGGGGGTACCGAACAAATATCTACATATATATATATATATATAGATCACCCACGCCCCAAGAGAATTGAACGGTATTTACAGTACTTTTGGGTGCTTTCCACCCGCCTTTTTAGGCACCTCAATTTTGAGCATGTAATTATGCCTGCATTTGTGCATTTGACTGCAACTCTATCCGCCTAAAACGCTTTAAAACGCTTTAAAGCGCTTTAAAGCGCTTCGGATCTACTATTCAAGATTCAAGATTGTCAGGACACTAGATCTTGAATCTTGAATCCAGTACAGGGCCCCCAAAACGCTTTAAAGCGCCTCAAAGCGTCTGCTTGCAGTCATTTCTGTTTGGTTGTGCACCTTAGTACTATTGTGGACTTGTGTGCGGTACATGCAGTTGATAATTCAGCATATTGTCATTGGAATACTAATTCTTGCACATGTTTAAGCGTCCACGCATATTGAAGAAACACTGCAAATACCAGTGTTTTGCATGCTTCTCAGCAGGTTTTGTGCAGAACAGATTTTGTTCAGGCAAATTATTCATTTTAACAGACAGCGCGGCATTGATCAGATTTGTGAGCTGACAAACAATTGGGATTTGCAGATGAGTTGAGATGAGAGATGGAAGATGCGTAGCAGGTATTGGCACAGGTTTTTAAGTTGGCAGACGAATAGGATGCGCACATCGGTTGAGATGAGAAATCGAAGATGCGTGGGCGAGGCAGAAGAGGCATTGCTTGCTTTATTGTTCATACCCGTGCGACGGTACTTTCACAGAGATGTTTACAGTCAATTGAACGAGGATACCGTTAGTGATGAAGACCTTGAAAAACAAAGTTAATATGGCCACATTTTAGCAGCAAGACATGTGAGAACATCACGGTTTCTATGGTAGATGTTGTATCATTGACTGACATGTTTGAGCACTTCAGAGATGCATGTATGACATATTAGGGCTTAGGCCCTGTGTTTTGGGACACTTCACCTAGCTTCGCTATTGCAATGTACCTAACTTTGCTTCTGATGCTATGTTTGAATTAGATGGGTGGCAAAGTCTTAACGAATCATCTGCGCAAGTCCGCCACATTGGAAAAGGAGCCCACTTTCGGCAAACACATCCATCTAAAATGACCTGACTTGCCTTGCATGCAGCAGGCGCGGGTTTTGGTGGGGAGTTGCATATATACGTGTGTATGATTCATATATATATATATATATAAAGGTGGTACCCGCCCCCCCAATACTTTTGGGTGATTTCCACCCCCCTTTTCAGGCACGCCACATTTGAGCAGCTCACTGTGCCCGCATTTGCACATTTGACTGTGAGTGTATCCGAACAGAGAAGGTTTAAAGCTTCTTAAAGCACTGTGGCATCTATGTAGAGGATTAAGATTCAATATTTCAAGCACTCCAGATCTTGAATTTCGAATCAGGTACCCTTATCGAGATGTTACTCAGTCAGTAGAATGAGGATGGCACTAAGGATGAAGACTATGAACAAGATGGACACATCTTAATATCAACTACTTTGACCTCATATGCAGAGATGTATGTATGAGAGATTGTGGTTTAGACCCCGTGTATTGTTACACTTTACCCAACTTTGCCTTTACACTGTATTTGTTGGGGTGGCAAAGTCTTAATGAATTATTTGTGCAAGCGTGGGTTTTGAGGCGGGGGTTGCATATATATATATATATACACATAAGTATGTCTACATTGTTGCTTGACCACACCCTTACGGGTACATGACAACTCGCTTTCATGTCAGGTGGAGTGTGGAACTGGCCCAGCACCCGTGTGGACTAAGATCAGCTCTGCACTTAAAACTCAAAGGTTCTCGTACCGTGAAGGCAGCCGTCTTCTTGTGCCGTTTGTTGCAAGCCTTGAGTTTAGTCAAGGTCGCACTTGCGGTGAGTGCACAGTGAACGTGCCGAGCATTCAGGCATGGTACTGGCACGACAATCATGATGTGTTTGGTGGCCCCCTCTGCAGGAATTTTATTACACATGCAATTCCTACTGCAAGTACCAGCCTGGCAGGGAGCTCTGTCTTTGTTTTTTAGAGAGGTCCAGCCACTGAACGAGCGTCAGGTTCGCCAAAGTGCATGAGTGCATCCGTTGCACATCATGCAAGCTCATGTGACATCAAGTGCCCTGCTCAGCCTCATGCTTTGGGGGGGGGCCTCACTCAAGCCCAACAAACTGAGTGAGCCTGAGGATGGGAGCGTCGTGTGACTACAAGTTTAAGCAGGACCTGTCGCTCATGCTACGTAGGCTTTCCTATTTGCACACTGTCGCACACTGTGCAGGATGAGGATGCCATTTGCGAATGTGACAAGGCCAAAAGTCTCAGGGACAGAAAGAGGACAAACACCCCGTGACTGGATTGGTAGAAACAGCCATGGAACCACTAATCGGGAAGTTAGGCAGGATAAGGATTTGACCAAAAGTGGCCACCATGATGAGCATGCGGAGTTGTGACCATGGCACAAGTGGCCCAGGTTTTGATGCCGCACGAGAAGGTCCAGGCATTGCAAGCCTCTCAGCTGTGTGTCCTTGCCGTGGCTGGCATATACTGGAATAAACAATGATCCGATTTCGATGACTCCTTGCTAAGCCATGCTCAGGTATGCCCAGTGCGGAGGAAAGGAGTGGAGGGGCTTCACCGCGTGCGAGGCCACTTTGGTGTACGCGACATGATCTGAAGTTTTCCCGAAAATATGACTCCTGGAGATGTGCACAGCCAGCGCTGACGTAGAACAACTTGAACACATGTCTCCTAACAAAAGCAACGCAACTCGTGCCAAGCGTCAACTGATGCCTTTGCACGCCTTTGGGCCAGCCATTATACATTTCAATGTTGAAGAGATGCCACAGGAGACTGGAGTGTGTGCCGAGTCTCCATTTGAGTTGGAAAGGGGGTGGGGATGCGAGAGCCGTGTTGACAGGCTGGCGCTCTTTGCAACGTGGGGACCCCAGCCGATTGCAAATGATGTCTCTAGAATATTTCTGCAGTGCCTTTTTGATCCTTCTTGCATGCGAGCACAACTGAGATTGTGGACGAGTGGTATTCGCAGTGTGTGCCAGTGCTGGCTGTCAGCAGCTGAGATTTTTTGGCTGATTCTACGAGTTCTGAGACTTGGTGCGAGATGACCAAAGACAAATTCGTGTGCCCCAGGCCAAGCCAGGAGTGCGTGCGGAGGTTGGCGAGTCCGCGGCTGGAGAGGCGGGTGCCGCGAGCTGGCGTGGCCGTGCTGCGTGGGTGCTCGCTGTTTGAAAGGCAGACCTCGGGGCTGGGCCGATGCTCGGTGCTGAGCCAGCCGCCCCCGGTGCGCCCGGTGCGCCCGGTGCGCCCGGTGCGCCCGGTGCGCCCAGTGCCACTGTGGTGGCTGCGCCCGTCATCACAGTGGCGGCCACCCGTTCTGCGCCCGCGCCGGCCGTCGGTGCCACAGCCGGCGTTGCTGGCGTTGCTGGCGCTGCTGCGCCTGTCAGTCTGACCCCCGGCCCATCACAGACCTAGGGCTCACTTTGATTGATCTGAAGATGTAAAGCGCATTTTGTCAATGTGACAACTGCCAGGTGCAGCATGCTCTGCTCACCCAAAGTGCGCCGACCTGAAGCCCCTGACCCAGCTTTCTCTCGTGGAGTTTCGAGCCTGTTCACCACTTGCCTGTGACTGGGGCACTCAGGCTCTCCGGCAACTGCTGCCCCAATGACGACGCCGCCTGACCCACAGTTTCAATATGACCAGAATCACTCAGCCAACGTGGAAAGAGTAGGTCAGCCTGGGCTGCTGCAGCAATTTCAATCCGGCCGTCGTGGCCCGACACTGAAAGGGCTGAGGGCTGATGCCACCTTGTGTAGCTTACGCAGCAACGCACACACACGACAAAAGCTCTTTTGCAGAGCCATGGACTTACTGGGCGGCATGTCTAGGACACGGTGTCGCCCGAGCCTATGCCAGCGCAGGCACTCAGCAAGTCCAGTTGATGTCTTGGACACCGCACACGGTAAGATGTCGTATGAGTTCACATCGACATTCACGCAGACTGTTGCCCCGCTGGACATCGCTACACCAGCACCGATTTCCCCACCAGCCCCGATTGCATTCGCCTTAGCAGCCTCAGTCGATCGTAAAGAGGACTGCCATGTTGACTCTCTGCTAGATGCGCAAGGTTGAGAAGCCTTACTGGAAGATTCCCCGGCCAACAGAGGCTGGCGCCTAATTCATTCCGGAGTGAGTGCATGGCTCAATGCAGGCCGAGCTGCAGTGCATGAAGCCCGAGCCGAAGGGCTGTGGCGGCTTGGCCAATGATGGCAGGCCAGAGTGCGACTCTGTGGCACAAGCCCAGGCTCCATCAGGGACAAGCTGACATGCCTCAGCCCAGAACTTAGGCAACTTAGGATATCTTCGGATGCTTAGACGAATTAGATGGCAAGTCGAAAGAACTGCAAACTGCAGGCCGAGTGGATGGCCGCACCGGATACAAAGTGCACGGCCTCAACGTCGGGGGCGAGCCCTGCGTGTGGTGTGGAGATGGTGGAGCGTCTGTGGCCCATTTTGCGGGCGAATGCCAAGTGGCTCAGCTTCAACCCTAAGGTCCTGCACCTCTTACAGTAATGCAGTTTGCGAACCTTACGACTGGCTCATGCACGGTCAGGGCAAGGCACCAGTCAACAGCTGCAAACGTCGTTCGGCTGACTACACCTTGTGGAGGCCTACTTCACCATTCATGTTCCAGCCTTACTGCATTTCTTCTGCTTTCACACCCCCTGCATTTGGGCACGTGGGGCAGACAGAGGCACGCCACAACTTGAAGGTTGCCAGGTGCCGCGCAATGCCCTCAGATTCGGAGAGTGATATCAATGACCAAAACGTCAGCAGACTGCAGGTCAGCCTATGGGGTACTTAATGACAGGCAGTGATCAGCACTTGGCATCTAAGGATGATAAGAACGCGGTCTTCAGCAACCTGGGCTGCCTGAAACCTGCAGACATGGGCTGCAACCACATTAGGGACCGAGATTTGCAGGTGAAAGCTGTGCCCATCAGAATGACTCGCCAGGACAGACATCAGTGCTTGTCCAGCAAGGATGATCGTCCTTATGACCAAGTGGCAGGCTTCAAGGCGCCAGTCTTCCGAGAGAGTGCTTTTGGCAGATTCGTCCTTGCTCAGGCGAAGGGTCAGCCTTGCGTGTGGTGCGCTGGCAGGTGGCAGCCTGAAAGAGACATGTCCAGAGAGTCTCGATTTTCCCACAAGGACCTGTCATTCCAACAACAACAATATGTGCGAACCGTATGACTTCGTCATGAATGGAGCAGGTGCGGAGTTGCACTGCAGCACGATTCGCCTTTCACCCGCCTTTCAGATCATCCCTTTCGGGCATGTTGCAGAGTGTCCACAGCCGCAACATGTGAGCATGCATTCCTTATAGTCTCAACCCTGCTTTTGGCACAACGTAGCTATCCCATATGTTTTTTCGTCTTTGCGTGGGCTTTTGTTTCCACTGCCTGCCTCTGAAAGTGGACCCAAAGGACAAGCCTTCACTCACAACTTCGACCGAAACACGTACTTGGTGCCAGAGTGCGAGGCGGGAGTTCAGTGACTCGAGGATTAGAATGTGATTTCCTTTCAGGGTGACAAGATCCTTCACAAGCCGTATGGCAGTGCCGTCTATGACAAGGGCATCCCCAAGCAGGCGATTGTCAGATCGAGCCTTAGCAATTCAAAATGCCAACTGCCAGGTGAAGTGTGCGGGCGCTTCGGACACCTGGCAGGCTGTTGGCCTGCAGCCTAGACTCAGCAGGTTCTGGCAATGCTCGGGGAAGGGCTACCTGTTCTGAGGAAAAGTTTGCGGCGGATGTGACGTCACTGTGCCGAATATCAACGCCCATGACTCAAAGCACAGAGGGAAGAGACAATGAGAGGGCACAAAATGCGGACATGGAGAAAAGGACACTGGACACGACACATTGAAATCCTTCAGACGAGCTATGTCACGTGCGACAAGTACTGCGCAGCTCAGCAAGGCTGGATTCCATGGTTTGCACTGGGGGGCCTCTGGAAAGCACCATACATGGTGCGCATGGATGTCATTTCATTTGAGGCGGACTGAAGTGCATCGCAGCCTGGAAAGCTTTCACTCACAGCTGTGAAGTGCAAAGTACCGAGCCAGCCCGGCTCAAGTTTTACTTGACAGAACTTGCACTTGAGACACAGAGTGCCTGCCAGCTATCTTCTGACCTGCCACGATCACTACGCAGAGGGCGAATTCGCCCGCTGCAGATGCAGTGGGAATGAGAAGGCTTGTGCAGAGCCCTGCGAGTTTTTGAAATATCGCGGGGGCTTGTGAGGAACTGCGAACAACATGAACACTTGCAGAATCGATGCACTGGCTTCCGCTAGGCGTCTGCGGAGGCAGTGAAGGAAGCTGCTGCAATGCCAATTTTGCCGCACCGGGCTCAAGAGAGCGATATATATATATATAGCGAATAGTTGCTTGAGTTGTGTGGCTACGCGGTTGGTTGGGTAGGGTCTGACACACTGCCACAGCATATGCGGCTTGAGCGTTGAGATTGACGGCGCTTTGCCAGCACTTTTTTTTTCTTCTCCCCCCGCCTACCTTTCCTAAAGCGCTGCCAAAAAGCGCGTATACTTTCTAAGTTTATTCCAAAAAGCAGAATGGGAGAGAACCTGGCAAGACATTGAACATGTTGTCAGGGGTCTTCAAGAGAGCATGCTTTGGTGGCTGAGGTATGCGCAATGCGGCGGACAGCAGTGGAAGGGAGCCGGCAACTGCCAGGTAGTGGGCTGTGAGCGCGACCCCCGATCTCAATAGCGGCAAATCCTGGCAGGTTGGAAGCAAGTGCTTGGTGCTTGTCTAAGCTTCCGATCGTCAGTTGAACTGTTCATGTGAGCATTCGAGGTCATCAACGAGTGGTACAGCCAGTGCCTGCCAGGAGTGCTGATCTCGGATTTGGGAGTTGTGTCTTCTGGCGCACGCGCCATTTCCTTGCTCAGGTGCTTTCCAATCCAACCCAAGCGGCACAGGCTGCAAAGAGCGCGGCAGAGGCCGCTAGCGATTGTCAAGTTTCGGCGACTACACTTGCAATGCAGTGTGCCATCGAATGAGGCTGCTGGCAAGGAAATTGGAGATCAGGCAGGTTGACCACGTGTCAGTGGGCTCAGGGCACCTACATTCATGAGAGGCAAGACCTGAATTAAACAAACATGCGACAAACACAGGTCCTTGGTTCGAACGGCTCGAGAAAGTGCATTGGCTAATTGTAAACGTACCAACTGAAGACCAACAGCTGACAAAGATGGAAATGGGAGCAGAGATGCCATCAAGCTGGAATTTCAACAATGGGCAAGCAACAAGGTCGACGACAAAAACCGCCATTAAACAAGAACACATCCAAGTCCTTGGCCAACAAAAACAACTTGCCCCAAGGGCTGAGTTTGCAGAAGAGCAGAGTGAGAGCAGAGAGTGTGCGCTTTAGTAATGCGTGCAACACAAGTCGGGTATACCAACGCCCCACGCGCACACAGAGACATACGAGTGTCAGCGTGCTCGTTTGCCAACAACATTTTCAGCTTCAGTTCTGGGTGTTGCCCTGACTCATTTCCAGTGGCGCAATAGCTGAAGCTGCGGAAGCCATGCTTTGTCACATCAGAAATAGGATTTCTCATGCTGCAGGATAATGTATTTTAGGCCAGGTCGTTCCATGTGTCAATCCTGTGTCTTGACCTGACGCTAGGCCAGCTATGCTGGGCAGGCGGCTTCCGAGGCCGCGAAGGTGGCAGGTCTTCCCCCAGCCAGCCAGGCCTATTTGGTGCCATTGCACATTGGGAATTCTCAATATGTCCGTTATGCAATGTGACACTGTGACTGTATTTTGACATCCTGCGCTTCGGGCAGGCCACCCAAGCCTATGTGTACTCGGCGGGCACCCTTCACCAAGAAGGAGTCGAGAAGCCAGAGGTTGCTTGACATGACAGCTGCTTTGGGGGTGTCGCAGGGACATCCTTGAATTTGTCGGCTTGGACAAGTTGGACAAGTGCATTTTCAGCTCTACTTGTCTCTGAGGCCAACGCGGTGGGCGTGGAGGCTGTCAAGCAGGCCCTTGCCGATGCTGGCATGGACAACGACCAGGCCCGATTTCTCGGGTATTTGCAATTTGCTTTGCAGCACTGGCAGGCATCGCAGATGGCAGATCAGGCAGAGCTGTGTGTTTTTGGTGATGCGAAGTAATGCTTTGTTTGCACAGTCACATTGTTCATGCGCACCTTTCGAGTAACAGCAAGACTGAACTGAACTGTTAGGCTATTGCGGAGGGCCAGGCTGGCTTGCCAATTCAATTTGCATGTCATGACCTTACTCTTCTCATCTTTTCTCTCTTGTTGAGGTCATCGTGTTTGGTGAAGAGTTCCAAGCTCGGCAAAATCATGCAACTGACAGCCGCATACACTTTGCGGCATACACAACGGCATGTACAGTAGTGTGTCACAGGGCTTTGTGATTCACTTTTTGTTTTAATCAGGAAGACAGTACTGTAACTTCCGTAAGGAAAGCATCATCCTGTACATTTTAGCCCGTTGGAAACGGGTTGATTCAGGCAGAACCCATACTCGGCACCTACAATCGCTGGAGATGCTGCCGCAAATCAGGCTAAGGCAGGCAGACCAGCCTCATTGCATTTTGGGTTCTGCAAACCCATTATGTTTGCCGGCAGGATGCTGGTCTGTCAGCAGAGGACGCGGCAGATAAGTTCTGCTGGCAAAACTTGCAAAACTTGCAAGGAGCAGTGCAAGAAAGCCTACGCAGCTGCCTACAACACGGCCAAGGCCTGGGTCTGCGCTTGCATGGAGGGAAGCAACAAGGCGCAGGGCCAGGAATATTGTGAAGGAAGAGTCAGTCTGCTTTGGCTGCAGGGGTCTGCAATGGCACGGCCTCCTTTTCTTTGAAGCTCCTCTTAATAGAGCAGCCATGCCGAGCCGATCAAGTCGCGTAAATCAGACGCCACAACACTCCCCACGTAAAACACTCTGCTTCCCTGTTGACTTCTCAATATTCACCCAGCGTCGGATCAGCTTGACCAGAAAGAGTTAGCACAAGGCAGTCGGCTCATTCGGCTCATTCGGCTCAGTTCAGATCCTTCGGCTCCTTCGGCTCAGTTCAGATCCAGGCCAGCGGCCTCACCCCCGAGAAGATGGCCGAGGTGGCCGGCAACATCGCGTCTGCTGCCGCAGCCAGGGCAGGGATGAAGCAGCAGCAGCAGGTGGACTGCGCAGTGAAGGCCGCAGAGGCGCGACGTCAGTTCGTGCAATCAGCAAATGTTCGAATAGTCGTCTTTTGTCTTGTATTGTCATCTTTTGATCGCATCGTTCCCACTGCGAGGGGGGGGCACTCCTGAGGATGTCTCCAAGGCCAATGGCGGCTTTCCAGATGATGTTGCTGCCGAGATGGACTCGGCCGGGCAGTCTGCAGCGCATACCGCGCTGGTCCCGACTGTCGAGGCACAGCCCTTGTGATCACTGCAAAGTGACGATCAGTGACCATCCGGACATCTGGACATCCACAGTTGGGCAGGTCGACACTGTCGTGTCAGACAGCATGAAGGACGCTGAGTCAGGGTGACACAGCCCTGGCTAAATGAATCCAGAAACATCCTCATGAACAGCTTCTGGGCATTGCCATCACAGACTTTGGCACTGTCTTCAAGGGTTGCATGCTTGGTTCTAGTGTTGCCAAGTATGTTTACAACAAAGACGGGAACCGGCAGCATGATGTGTATTTTCAACTTCATCAACCACATTGACGCTCTTGCAAAATTGTGTCCTGGAGGAAGTCGAGGAGGGAGCTGCAAACAAGCTCAAGATTCCACAGGCACTCATGGACCAGTGCCTGGCACAGCAGGCCGACCTCGCGTTGTGTTGCCTGAGGACCCTCTCACTGCGTCCTTCGAATGTTTCTTTCAGAATGTGTGTTACAGGAGTCAAGCTACAAAGGGGTGGAAGGGGAAAGCTGGAAAATGCGGAAGCTGGAAAAGAGGCAAAGAGGAACAGCGGGAAATGGAGGAAAAGGGGAACATGGGGCTAACCCGGGAACGGGGAGACAGGGAGGAAAATGAGGACCAGGGGAAGGCAATCTTCCGAACAACAAACAACTGGGGTGCTGCTATAGTATTTTTGCGGGTCATTTGCAAAAGCGGTTATGCCATTGCGTTGCTTGCATCCCTCGCGCCCCATTGCTTTTTCTGTGCGCACTTTCCTGAATTTGTCGGCCTTGTCGCTGGGCCGCAAAAGATGAAAAGAGCAGACCAAGGGAAAGATGTACAAAGCAAGACGACAGGTGGAAACAACAGGATCTGAAAGAGCGAATCTTTGCCACATTGCGATCTCACGCATGTCTCTCATTTTTTCAGAGAAACGTGTAGTGGGGGAGAAATGGAGGGAACGGAGACGAATAAACAGAGAGACAGAGGGAGGTGCTGCGAGTGGCCCAGAGAACCTCGAAACCGCAGGGAGCAAAGGCGGCTGCAGAGGTGGCGACTCGCCTGGGCAAAGAATATGGGCTCTCGGCTGCTGACACGGCCGAAGCTGCCAGGATAGAATCCTTGTAACCCTTGGCACGCCTGTGACACTCCTTGCTGAACGAGTGCCAGCAACTTCACCGCTTTGTACTCTGAACGTTCTCACAGGAGATGCGCTTATGAAGCCGCTATTGCTGCTGGGAAGACTCCCATCGAGGCACGTGGCATGCACGACGCGTGCTGGAATTGCATGTTTTCTAGTTTTTCATACCGTTCACTGTAGGCAGCAGCGGCAGCAGAAGCAACTACCAACACTGCCCCTTGGCATGTTTGAAACATGAGGTTGGTCAGACACATTCTGGTGCTTTGCAATCAACTTGGGGAAAAACAAATTTGGGATTCACCAAAGAATGAATTCGTCAATGCCCATTACGGCAGCGCCATATTTCAACTGGCCATGCCTGAGGAGGCCAAGATTGTTTTTTTCATGAAAAAATCAACCGATCACAAAACATGTTTCCATTGAAGACCACAGGCCCCTTTCTAAGAAGCCATTGTTCCACAAGGGGCCCGTGCATTACCATGTTTGAGTGGGCCGGTGGGCCAGTGCCGCCCAATGTAAGCCACAACTGGCCAGTCAATGCCTGCTGAAGCCAAGGCTGCAGAAGCTGTGATGGCCCCAACAGATGGATCTGCCATCAAGCCTGATGCTTTGCAGAACATCGGCCGTGGCCTTAGATTGTGGTTGGTTGCGGGTCAGCTTGGCTCGCTCTGCGAGGTAAAGACTGCTGGGAGGTTTGTGGCAAGGAGTGCCGGGCTCAGTGCAATGGCACAATGGCAGCGTTGGTCACCGGGTTGCATGCGTCACTGCCATCGATTGATGGCAAGCAGCTGCGCTGTGACAGAGCGACGCAGACTAGGTCTGGGCTGTGTGCCTTCTGCGGCCTTGGCAACGCTTGCTGCCGCAGGTGCTGCTGTTGTGCTTCTTTAGGGATGTCTTTCTCAGCCTTGTCCTGGATACAGCTGCAAATGGCAGGGACGAGATCAACGCTCCAAAGGTTTGCCAAGATGCCACGTTCACCACCTGGCACCATCAATGCGTTCAACCAGTCCACAAGCCAAGTGTCACTGGCTCAGACGTGTTCAGTTGACTTGAAAGGTGGCAATGCACACACTTGTTCGCAGGATGTTGATGACGTCGGCATGGCTGTGCACAGCGCGGAATCCTATGCTTCCGCCACGGAGAAGGCAGAGGGTGCAGCGCAGGAGGCCAAGGACAGCGGCAAGACCACCGAGGAGCAGGCCGAGGCGGCCGCCAACGCTGCAGCTGAGTCCATGAAGGACTCCGGCGCTGCGGTCAAGGACGAGATCACGGCGGCGTACAAATCGGCGGAGGAGGCCGCCATCAACGCCGGGATGGACGCGACTGCGGCAAAGAAGGAAGCTGAGAAATTCGCCGAGCAGCTGGCCGAGAAGGAAGGTATGTCTGCTTCCGAGGCGGCCAAACTGAAAATGCTTTGTCGCTTCCAATGTATCAGAGCTAATATAGAAATATATATATATATATATATATAGCGAGAGAGAGAGAGAGAGCCAGAGAGCAAGAGCGGCAAGAGACGTTAGCATACAGGCAGCAAACTTACACGTTCGTGAATGTAGTTCTTACGACAAACAAGCTTATTGTAGCTGTCCGCGCAGTTCGAGGTTTGAGGGCCTGCAATACCGCACCACATGCAAGCAGGGGCTCACAAATCCGGCAGGTTTGTAACTTCCCTATAAGGAGGAACTACTCCCATGGCCGTCTCAAACTGTCCCACAGGATTGTAGTTGAGACGGCCTCTCAGAAGCCTCAGTAGGGAAGCGCTAGGCCGCAGTGGCTGGCCGGATGTGGTGCACGACGCATGTAGTGCCGTTGATTGTGGAGAACTTCGTTCTCCCTTTGGTGTAACATGTGTCAACATATAGTTGAACAGTGCAAGGGGTGACTGTGGTAGTGGTGTAAACGAAGATCGCTTGCCCATAACCAGCGCTCTTCATGACCATGCAAAGGGCTTTGACTTGGTCCGGGATGCTTTGCTGATTCGTCAGGCAGTTGACGGCTCCCGAACTTTTCGCAGTCGTTGACTTTGTTGGGCTGGCGGCTTGTTTGAATGACCCTAAAAAGGCTTGCTGATGTTCATACCCCTCTGCCCAAAAGGGGTAGAATGGTAGTGGGTTGGTAACGAGGGAAGCAAAGGCGTATGAACAAGGGGTATGAAATTCCACTCTTAGACGTAAGTGTTATCAAAGTGCAGACTGATGTGGAGTGTGATTTGGATGTGGTGATCAAGAAGGTTTGAACATCAAGTTGATGGAGTTTTCTTGTGCGTAGTGATGTCGGAGTAACGGGTTCTGCCCACAGAGACTTCCTTCGGGAGTGTGTGTGTGTGTGTGTGCGTGCGTGTGTGTGTGTGTGTGTGTGTGTGTGTGTGTGTGTGTGTGTGTGTGTGTGTGTGTGTGTGTGTCTGCGTGTGTGCGTGTGTGTGTGTGTGTGTGTGGAGTTCCAGATCAACCGTGGGGGCCCCGCGCCAATGACGACGCCCATCTTTGCTGGCAAAACCCAGCAGGGCGCTGCACCTGCGTCAACCATGTTTGTGACTTGTTGCTGTTGCTTCTTTGTTGATCCCTGCTGCCATGCGGTGTCGCCGTCTGCTTGCCTTCAGCCAAACGAAACGAAGCAAACTACGAAACTTTGCAGTCGAACGATTCCTATTTGAGTTGAGACTTGCACCGTCCAGGGAGAGTGCGTGTGCGTGTGCGTGGAAGGCTTGCTGCGCTGCAAGTGCGAGTTTCCAGCAGACTCGTTCACTCAAGTGCGTGTCGCGTAGAGCTCTGATCAGCTCGGCTCACGGCAATTGTGGCCCGTGCGCGATTGCAAACGGCGATAGTTGTGTTAAGGAGTTGTAGGTTAAAGCCGATGGTCGGTATTTTTGTAGTGGCACGCTTCTCGTCAAAGTCATCCTTGTCGAAGATTACGTATGGCTGTTGGCGCAAGACGCAATGGACTGTAGTTCCGGCCCTTGTCTCGGCAGACTGAGCTGCTCCCATTCGTTGCTATGGCGCAGATATAGTTCCTTGAGAAAGCGCAGGTTGCGCGGCTTAAGAAGTCCCTTGTTGAAGTTCCCTTGCCGGCGATGCCACGGGGGATGTCCTGTCGCGGGTGATGTGGCGACGGGTGGGGGTAGTCTTGGTCTGGAGTCTGTCACAAGTGCTTGTTTTGACCAACATTGGGTCGTAGCGGCTGTGCGTTCAACTGCAACGACGGACGTGTTCCCGCTTGCGAACGTGTGTTTGTGTTGCATGTGCTCGCGCTTCCGTGGAGCGCTCATGATACAAATATGCAAACTACAAAAGCAATCAATTAACACACATGAATACATCAATGTTGGAAAAACCGAACGCAAGAAAGGAAGAAGTGAATAATGCAAGGAAGAAAGGAGAGAAAGAGAGAGGGGCGGAGAGAGAGAGAGAGAGAAAGACAGAGAGAGAAAAAACAAAGCCATATGCGTTGGACGCCACCCTGAAGCAAACTTTACGGCGAGAGATGTGACTTGGACACAGGCCTCAGCAATTGCGATTGCCATTGGTGGCGGTGTGAATGTGGCGCGCGTCTCAGTGACTTTGAGTTATTCGGCATGGTCATTAAAGTCAGATGCTGCTACCAAGGTTGTCAACCCAACTGCCCCAGTGGCAGGAGCAGTTCCCACGGTCGCGCCGCTGGCCGCTGCCACACTGGCCCCAGTGGACCTTCCCACGGTCGCGCCGCTAGCCCCTGCCACACGTATGGCCCCAGTGGAGGTTCCCACGGTCGCGCCGCTGGCCCCTGCCACACGTATGGCCCCAGTGGAGGTTCCCACGGTCGCGCCATTAACCGAAGAGATCAATGCGGCGTACAAGTCGGCGGAGGAGGCTGCCATCAACGCCGGGATGGACGAAGCTGCGGCAAAGAAGGAAGCTGAGGCAGCCGCCGAGGCAGTGGCCGAGAAGGAAGGTATGTCTCCTGCCGAGGCGGGAAAGTCTCACACTCAAAGCTTTGCATTCCGATCTCTCCACCGGGAGACCCTGGAACAATTGACAAGCGTGAGAGAGAGAGAGAGCCAGCAATATGAGCTTACATGCATTGGACAACCACTGGCCCACACTGAACCAGGCTCAAAGACCCGGCTCTCAACCTCATCAATTCTCAATTCAACTGACGTTTTCCTTTGCAGTAAGAGATGTGGTTTCTACAGGCCGCAGCAGCAGCAGTTGCTGCTGGCACCGTGGCGCAAGTCTTAGTGACTTTGAGCTATTCGTATGATCAAAGCAAATTGAAGCGAGATGCTGGTACCAATGGACCAAGGTTGTCAATCAGCCAGCGGGCGGTCCCACAGTTGCGCCAATATCGCCTGATGCTCTGCAGAACGTCGGCCGCGGCCTTGGATTGTGGTTGGTTGCTGGCGAGCTTGGCTCGCTCTACGAGGTAAAGACTGCTGGGAGGTTTGTGGCAAGGCGTGCCGGGCTCAGTACAATGGCACAATGGCTTGCAGTAAACTCAGTGAAGTTATTGGGTTCCATGACGGCTTGTGGATTTATGCAGTGTATATTCGATTTGCGTCACTGCCACCGATTGATTGCAAGCAGCTGCGCTGTGGCAAAACGACGCAGACTAGGTCTGGGCTGTGTGCCTTCTGCGGTCTTGGCAACGCTTGCTGCCGCAGGTGCTGCTGTTGTGCTTCTTTAGGGATGTCTTTCTCAGCCTTGTCCTGGATACAGCTGCAAATGGCAGGGACGAGATCAACGCTCCAAAGGTTTGCCAAGATGCCACGTACACCACCTGGCACCATCAATGCGTTCAACCAGTCCACAAGCCAAGTGTCACTGGCTCAGACTCGTTCAGTTGCACTTTGACATTTACGGTGCTCACCTAAGGAGAATGACGCGGCTGCCACAGAGAAGGGAGAGGATGCAGCGAAGGAGGCCAAGGACAGTGGCAAGACTGCTGAGGAGCAAGCCGAGGCGGCCGCAAACGCTGCAGCGGAGTCCATGAAGGAGTCTGGCGCCACTGTCAACGACGAGATCAATGCGGCGTACAAGTCGGCGGAGGAGGCTGCCATCAACGCCGGGATGGACGAAGCTGCGGCAAAGAAGGAAGCTGAGGCAGCCGCTGAGGCAGTGGCCGAGAAGGAAGGTATGTCTCCTGCCGAGGCGGGAAAGTCTCACACTCAAAGCTTTGCATTCCGATCTCTCCACCGGGAGACCCTGGAACCATTGACAAGCGTGAGAGAGAGAGAGAGAGCCAGCAATATGAGCTTACATGCATTGGACAACCACTGGCCCACACTGAACCAGGCTCAAAGACCCGGCTCTCAACCTCATCAATTCTCAATTCAACTGACGTTTTCACTATAGCTTTTTTTCGTCTCCGGCTCTCCGGCTCCGGCCCGGCTCCGGCCCATCTCCGGCTCCGGCCCGGCTCCGGCCCGGCTCCGGCCCGTCTCCGGCTCCTTCTCCGGCTCCGGCTCCGGCTCCGGCACGGCTCCGGCTCGGCTCCGGCCCGGCTCCGGACCGGCTCCGGCCCATCTCCGGCTCCGGCCCGGCTCCGGCCCGGCTCCGGCCCGTCTCCGGCCCCTCTCCGGCTCCGGCTCCGGCTCCGGCTCCGGCTCCGGCTCCGGCTCGGCTCCGGCCCGGCTCCGGCTCGACTTACATACATACATACATACATACATACATACATACATACATACATACATACATACATACATACATACATACATACATACATACATACATACATACATACATTACATACATGCGTACATACATACATACATACATACATACATACATACATACATACATACATACATACATACATACATACATACATACATACATACATACATACATACATACATTACATACATACATACATACATACATACATACATACATACATACATACATACATACATACATTACCTACATACATACATACATACATTATATTACATAACGTTGCATTACATTACATTACACACAATACATACATTGCTTTACATTACACTACCTTGCATTACGTTACATACATACATTACATACATACATACATACATTACATGCGCACATACATACATACATACATACATACACACATTACATACATACATACACGCACATACATACATACCAGGAGGCTCCGATTCGCAAGTTACTTAGGCCGTATGAGCTAAGGATGTTCTTTGTGTCGCGAGGACAAGATAACTCAGAGCTTGAAATTTCACGAGTTTTCACGGCTTTTTCACGGAGTAGTAACGGCCTTTCAGTTTCCGCGTGAATTATTACGGCCGTTAGGCCGAGTTTTCACGGCTTTACGGGGGCCAACGAGCGCAAGTCGCCGAGGACATCTTAGCTCAGAAAGCCAAGGTAACTTGGGACTCGGAGCCTCCTGGTACATACACACATATACATACATACATACGTACATACATACATTACATACATGCATACACACATACCATTCAATCATACATACATTACATACATACATACATACATACATACACTACATTACATTACGTTACGTTACGTTACATTACTTTAAATTCACACATTACATACATACATGCAGACATACATACATGCATACGCACATACATATATACATTACATTACATACATACATACATACATACCTGCATACATTGCATACCATACGTACATACATGCATGCATGCATGCATACATGACAGACATTACATACATACATTACATTACATGACATTACATTACGTTACGTTACGTTACATTACATACTTACATACTTACATACATACATTACATACCTACATACACCATACCTACATCCTTACATACATACATACATCCATGCATACCTACATACATTACATACATGCATTACATACATGCGTTACATACATACATACATGCATAGGAAGAACAACACATACATACATATATTACACTACACGACACTACATTACATTACATAGCATTACACTACGTTACATTACATATATACATTACATACATACATTAGATACATACACACACATACATACATACAAATACAACACAACACAATACAAAACAATGCAATACAATACAACACAGTACATACATACACACATGAATACGTTGCCTACATACGAACACACACATACAAACATGCATACATAACAAACATACGTACATACATGCATGCCGACAGTACATTACATTACATTACATGACTTACATTGCATACATACATACATACAAACGTACATAGAAACACACATGTGTACATACATGCATACATACATCACATTACGCCAAATTGCAATACAATACTTCACATCGCATTGCATTGCACTGCATCACATTTCAGTACATTTCATCACAATACATTACATCACATCACATTACATTACATACATTCATACATACACACATTGCATTGCATTACACTACGCTACACTACATACATACATTACATACATACATGCATCCATACATACATCCATACATACGTACATACATACTTTCATTACCTTAATTCATACATACATTACATTACGTTACATTACATACTTACATACTTACATACTTACATACATACATACATTACATTACATACATGCGTACATACATACATACACACATTACATACATACATACATACATACTTACATACATACATTACCTACATACAGAGATACATACATTATATTACATAACGTTGCATTACATTACATTACATACATGACATCACATTACATTACATTACACCACATTACATTACAAACATTACATTACATTACAGTACCTTGCTTTACGTTACATACATACATTACATACATACATACATACATTACATGCGCACATACATACATACATACACACATTACATACATACATACACACACACACATACATACATACATACACACATATACATACATACGTACATACATACATTACATACATGCATACACACATACCAATCAAACATACATACATTACATACATACATACATACATACATTACGTTACGTTACGTTACGTTACATCACATTACTTTAAATACACACATTACATACATACATACAGACATACATACATACATACGCACATACGCACATACATACATTACATTACATTAGATTACATTACATTACACTACACTACATTACATACCATACATACATACAGACATGGATGCATGCATGCATACATGACATACATTACATACATACATTACATTACCTTACATGACACTACGTTACGTTACGTTACGTTACATTACATACTTACATACTTACATACTTACATACATACATTACATACATCCATACATACATCCATACATACATACATACATTACATATATACATACATACATACATTAAATACATGCATACATACACACATACGCACATACACACATTACATTACATTACATTACAGTACATTACATTACATACCATACATACATTACATACCATACATACATACATACATGACATACATTACATACATACATTACATTACATTACATGACATTACGTTACGTTACGTTACGTTACATTACATACTTACATACTTACATACATGCATTACACACATACATCCATACATACATCCATACATACATACATCCATACATATACATACATTACATACATGCATACATACATTACACACATGCATACATACATACCATTCATACATACATACATACATACATACAAAACATACATACATACATACACTACATTACTTTACATTACGTTACATTTCGTTAAATTACATTCCATTACATTACTTTACATACACACTTACATACATACATACATACACACATACGCACATACATACATTACAGTACATTATTTTACATTACATTACATTACATTACATTGCATTACATTACATTACATACATACACACATTACATACCATACATACATACGTACATGCATGCATGCATACATGACATACATTACATACATACATTACATTACATTACATGACATTACATTACGTTACGTTACGTTACATTACATACTTACATACTTACATACTTACATACATACATACATACATCCATACATACATACATCCATACATACATACATTACATACATGCATTACATACATACATTACATACATGCATACATACATACATACATACATACACACATACACACATACATTACATACAATTATACATATATACATACATACATACATACATACATACATACATACATACATACATACATACATACATACATACATACATACATACATACACACATACATACATACATACATACATAAAAGCAACATTATGTGTTCGTGTGTGTGTGCTTCTTAAAGCTTCGGGATTGGAACATACACAGTATGGAGAACAATTGAAGTTTGGCCAGCTCCGAGGCTCTGGCTGCCTGGCTCCACGTCTCCGGCTCTCGCTCCGCCCAGCCCAGGCTGTAGCTCCAACCCGTCCCACTCTGGCTGGGTGGCTGGCTTCGTCCAGCGGCTCCAACCACTCTGGCCAGGCTTTGGCTCTCACTCCACGGCTCCGGCCCGGCTCCGGCTCCAACTCCCGCTCCGACCGGCTCTGAACTTCGGAGCGTAGGTGGCCACGTAGCGGAGCAGGTTGCGCCTCCGCCCTGGCCCAGCTCCGGCCCGGCCCGGCTTCCGCCCCGCTCTGACTCTGGCCCGGGTCCGGCCCGGCTCTGGCGCTCACTCCGCTCCGCTCTGGCCCGGCTCCGGCCCGGCTCTGGCGCTCACTCCGCTCCGCTCTGGCCCGGCTCCGGCCCGGCCCCGGCTCCCGCTTCCGCCCCGCTCTGACTCGGCTCTGGCCCGGCTCCGGCCCAACTCTGACACTCACTGGCTCTGGCGCTCACTCCGCTCCGCTCTGGCCCGGCTCCGGCCCGGCCCCGGCTCCGGCCCGGCCCCGGCTCCCGCTTCCGCCCCGCTCTGACTCTGGCCCGGCTCCGGCTCGGCTCCGGCCCGGCTCTGGCGCTCACTCCGCCCCGCTCTGGCCCGGCTCCGGCCCGGCCCCGGCTCCGGCCCAGCCTCAGCTCCCGCTTCCGGCCCGCTCTGACTATGGCCCGGCTCCGGCCCGGCCTCAGCTCCCGCTTCCGGCCGGCTGTGACTCCGGCCCGGCTCCGGCCCGGCTCCGGCCCGGCTCCGGCCTGGCTCCGGCCCGGCTCCGGCCCGGCTCCGGCCCAGGACAAAAAAAAGCATTCCCCGACGTTTTCCTTTGCAGTAGGAGATGTGGTTTCTACAGGCCGCAGCAGCAGCAGTTGCTGCTGGCACCGTGGCGCAAGTCTTAGTGACTTTGAGCTATTCGTATGATCAAAGCAAATTGAAGCGAGATGCTGGTACCAATGGACCAAGGTTGTCAACCAGCCCACACTGGCCCCGGGCGTTCCCACAGTCGCGCCGGTGGCCGCTGCCACACTGGCCCCAGCGGACGTTCCGACTATCGCGCCACTGGCCACTGTTCCACCAGTTGGAGTGGCCACTGTTGCTCCGACAGAGGCCCATGCCCGAGTCGGGTCAGTCATCTCAAGCACATTTCAATGGCTGCGAATGATTTGATTGAGGTTGATAGCATTGCTGCCAAGGACACAGCTTGTGAGCCACACAATTGGGACATGCGGAGCGATTGAAAGGAGCAGACCGGCATGGACGAGGTGGCCTCGATTGCGACTCCGAGTCCAACGGATGCGGTTGCCCAAGAAGTGTTGCTGGTTGGCGAGATTGCGAGCTTTCAGACTTTCAGATCATGTTTGTGCAAGGATTCAGGATTGCCAAATCCGATCCCGCACTCAATCCAGGCCGCGCGACATGGACGTGCCATGTTAGAAGAGTAGAGTGCGGAGTAAGAACTAGCCAGGTTGGAATCGGTGCTGCAGAATTGAAGAAGAAAGACAATAAAGACTTGCATACCCAGGCTCGCTATGGCATGCTGCATTTCTCCATGTTTCTCGAGAGGGGCTTCGCTTGCTGCTTTGCCGAGGCACTGAATGCTGCTGGCACAACGGGCTCTTATGCGCGGAGCTTGGAGCAGATGAGCGCGAGCCAGCCATATGGTTGATGCTCAGGCCGTTGATGAGGGCAAGACCCAGGAAGACGCAGAGACCCTTGCTGAGCAGGCCTGGACGGATCTGCTTCAAGTCGAGTCCTGTTACTGCACCTTTTGTGCTCGAGCCAGGCTGCAACGTATATCTACCGACAGGGTGGACTCTCTTTGGAAGAGGCACGCCTTTTTGCGAATAAGTCCATACCAGGGCCAAGCAACCAGGCACAAAGCATGGCTAAGAAGGCTGTCCAGCCGGGCAGTCAGAATGTGAACTTGCAAGTCTGGCAAAGTTGCTGCTCAGAGTCAAAGCATGGGCAAAGCGTTGTTCACAAGATTTGTCTCCCTTGGAATTGCTTGACAGACAGCTGGCTATAGAATGCGCAGAGAAGCTGAGGGAAGCCAAAGAACAACAGGGAGGACAGTTCGTCTGGAGCAAAGCCGTTGCTTGGGTTCTGCATGCGGCTGTGTAGCTGGCATAGGTTAAGCGCGGCTTGCTGCAGAAGCACGGCTTTTCTGCGCATGCCTTGGCTTAGAGAATGTGATCCACTCAGAGCTCATGTACTCAGTTGGGTGCAAGGATTGCTGGGAACCTTGCGGATCAAAAGCTGGCTACTGTCCGGATTACTGTGGCCGCGGCAATGCTTGCAGACGCCTCATTTTGCTGGCACAGACACTTGTCATTGCTAGGAAGGGTCTGAAGTAGCATTGTTCAAGGCTGTGAATGCTCGTCAAGTGCACAGGCTGCCGGAAGACTGGCGATATCGTCGTTCCAGATGAATGCAAGGATGTTGCAGCCTCATGCGAGGTCGCACGTTTTGAAGGTGTCAAGTTTTCACTTCTGCTGAGATCTACAGCTTCTACACGCCGCATTACGAGTGCGTTGCCCCCACAGTCTCAGCCTTACATGAGTGTGCCTCATGCACGGTGAGTCTGGCTTGAAAGAAGCAGCCCTCATGCCTCAGGTAGTTTACAACCCTTACGATGAATCCACCGCAATCAAGGCAAAGGCACAGGCAAGGCAATGACAAGTGGAAATCGATGCTCTTGGCAGAATTGGTAGTTGCATTCGCAGCATGTCGTGGCCACTACAGTGCAGGCCACTGATGAGACTGCTGCCATTGCCGCCGATACCGTTGCAGAGGGTGCCGAGACCACAACTGAGGCGCTTGACATGTTTTTCTGTGCTTTGGCCTCAACGTGTTGTGTGAGGAGCCACACAGCGGCTTCACGGCTGGCCAGTGGGCGATTGCACATGGCTTACCATGGATGGTCTATCAAGTCACTCGCTTGGAGCGGGTTGAGCTGCCTCTTGCGTTCTGCCCCAGGTGATTGCTGCCATTCTGGCGATCTGCTGTGCCGGAGTGGCAGGCAGGAAGCTGAGGATTGAGGGTGTTTTGCCCGTGTCCCTTCAGCATCTGTAGCTTGTGCGAGGTTGGCACCTTGGAGAGGCCCGGCAGGACAGCAAGAGGACTGTAGCCACAAAGACGGCGCGCTATGCGGAGGCTGGAGATGCAATGGGAGCGCCCAATCGGGTTTGCCCTGTTTTTGTTTCCAGAGTAGTCTATGGGACAATCGGAGGGACATTGCGGGATGAGCATAAACAAAACAATTATTTTGGGGATCAAAAACAAATTATTGAGACCTAGTCTCCTGGTTTCCTGTTTTCCTGGTCTCCTAGTCTCCTGTGTGTATCCTGGTCCTGCTGGTCTCCTGGTCTCCTGGTCCCCTGGTCTCCTGGTCTCCTGGTCTCCTGGTCCTTGGTCTCCTGTCTTGTCGCCTGGTCCTTGGTCTCCTGGTCTCCTGGTCTCCTGGTCTCTTGGTCTCCTGGTCTGCTGGTCTCCTGGCCTGCTCTCCTACCCGAAACCGACCCTAAACCAAACTACACCCACCCTAAACCAACCCAAAACCAACCTACAAACCAACCTTGAAACCGACCCTGCGCAACTTTTAAACCAACCCTAAACCCGCCCTAAACCAACCCTAAACCAATCCTAAACCCACCCTAAACCTACCCTAAACCTACCCTAAGCCAACCTAAAACCACCCCAAACCTACCCTAAACCAACCTAAATCCACCCACCGTAAACAAACCCTAAACCCTCCCTAAACCCACCCTAAACCCACCGTAAACAGACCCTAAACTAAACCTAAACCCACCCTAAACCAATCCTAAACCAACCCTAAACCAACCTAAGCCAACCCCAAACCCACCCGAAGAACCACCCCAAACCCAACCTAAACCAACCCTAAACCAACCTAAGCCAACCCCAAACCCACCCGAAACCCAACCAAAATTTACCCTAAACCAACCTTGAAACTTAAGCCAACCCTAAACCCAGCCTAAACCAACCCTAAACCTGCCCTAACCCTACCCTACACTTACCCTAAACCACCGTACACTTGGCCTAAACCATCCCTTAACCCAACCCCAAACCAACCCTAAGCCAACCCTAAACCACGTCTAAACCCACCCTAAACCCAGCCTAAGCCAACCCTAAACCCACCCTAAACCCGCCTAAACCCACCCTAAACCTACCCGAAGCCAACCTAAAACCACCCTAAACGTAACCTACCCTAAACCAACCTAAATCCACCCACCGTAAATACCTAAAACGTCCCTAAACCAAGCCTGAACCCACCCTCCCTAAACAGACCCTAAGCCAAACCTACACCCACCCTAAACCAATCCTAAGCCAACCCTAAACCAACCTAACCCTACACAACCTTAAGCCAACCCTACAGGCATTTAACCGATGCTAGATTCGTTGAGAGAACTGCGCTTGTGTCTGAAAAGTTGTGATTTTCGAACGAGCTGCCAAAGTGACCTTCGCGTACTGCGCTTGTATTGGAAAGTGTCTATTTTTCAGCTGGAGCCGTAAAATGCGCGCGCTATTGCCCGAAAATTGTGGAAATTACAGCGTTTTGGCACCCCCAGGCAGGATAATTTGTTTTTGATCCTGTAAATAATTTGTTTTTGATCCGGGTGTCGAAAATTTCTTTTTGATCCCGTAATTTTTTGGATCCTGCGCCCGGACATTGCAGACTGACTGAGTTTCCTCCAAAAACTAGGGCCCACGACTAATTGTAAACGCGTCGCGCTGCTCGCCTCGCCCGCCTCGGCCAGCATCAGCCTCATCTCTGCGGTTGCGGAGACCCTTTGTAGATGGCAATCCCCAAGCCCGACCTGGATCCCCCCTCCCCCATGCCTCCAGCCCCGAAGTGAGCCCCCAGCCTCGAGCTGCCTCGAGCTGCCTCGAGGTCCCATGAAGGGAGCCCTGACACGTAGCCAATGCCTGCCCTGACATGGCGTATGTTGACCGAACCTCATATCTAGATGCCACCGCAAGCCCGCTTCGGCGGCCCGGACTGAGAGAACACGTGATGCCGGCGATGCAGGCTGGTGATGGAAAACCCAAAGTCACTGTAAGCTCAAAAACGCCCTCGCGCCGCGAGAGCAACATGCAACCAAGCACACGCTCTCAACTCAACTCTTACACTACACTTACCTCTCGGTAGCTTCGCCCCAGTGGTGTACTCGCCTCAGGCCCTAGGCCTCCGCGGATTTATTGCTTGCTGCTTTTTTGTGCGTTCCGTCAAGCAGCTTGAACAGACACATGACTGGTAAACTGCAAATTCGCTCAGCCTGTCATGCTCTTAGCATGTTCACCGGCCCTGGGAATGGCTGGCAGGTGTCCGCAGCTTCACCCCAGGGTGGTGCTGATCTGGAGCTTCAGGTGGGCAAAGCATGAAGCCTTCGTTCAGCTTTGAGCCTCTACTTCCGCATGAAACGAAAGGCGCCCATGTTGGCAGCTTCCGGTGCTGCCGGTGCTGCCTTGGGAAGCGCTCGTATGGTGCCTGCCCTGGGAAGCTGATTTGTGCTATTCTAAAGTCCTTCAGTCGTCATGCGAATTGTTGGAATCCAATTGCAAATTGCGAGGCGGCACCTGTGGGCTCTATGGGCTCCGTCATGCAGTGCCCCAGTGTGCTGAGCGACCTGCCCAGCCCCCCGGTTCTGTTGGAGGTATCCCAACCTTCCCTATCCATCCCAAGGCGCACCACATGCGCCTTTGTGTCTTGCGTTTTGTATCCTCGTATCTTGGAAGGTGTGGTGGTGTGAAGCTTAGAGCATGCCACAGCAAATGAGTGATGAAGCGGAGCATGCCTTAGGGTGGAAGCATGGCAGCGGCGCCCATGGTCCTAGCCTCAAGCAGGGACGAGGACTTCCATATTCAAGACCATGCTGAATTGCAAAATGAAGCCTGAGCAATCCAACCTGGCCAATCACATCGCAACTCCGTTTTTTGGAATTTGCTGCCTCGAAGGCGGCGTTCATGACAGGCTTCTCTTTTGTGCTTGGTGACGTTTGCTATGGTCACATCTTGACTAGGTCACGTTTTGCGGTTGTCACACTGCAGCCTGCGCAGCCTCATGGCATGGCACTTGCCCAATTAGGACCTTGTGTCAGGTTCTGTCTTTCTATGGCGCCACCAACACTCCATGCTAGCATGCCACATTTTGACTATGTGGCTGGATTTCCTGTTTGTATCAAGAATCATAAACACTGAACATGCATGCTGCAAACCAAAGGCCTCCATGTCTGCGAACCCTGCCATGATGATGGCCTTCGCCTTATACTGCATGCGTGCTTGTGCTTATGTGCAATTTCGTTGTCACGCAGATGGCAAGCCGGGCCCTGAATCGGACCAAGGCCGGTGCCCCTGTCGCTTCCATGTCGGCTTGGAGCTTGGCAATACAATTTTGAAGGCAAATGTAGTCATGCAGATGGCAAGGCTGGTGCGCCCATTGCTTCTATGCCGGTTCGGAGCTTGGCAAATGTGGGGGCAAACGTGCGAAAGTGGAATCACGCAGATGTCAAGGCGGGCCCTGAATCGGACCAAGGCCGGTGCCCCCGTCGCTTCCATGTCGGCTTGGAGCTTGGCATTTCAATCTTGCAGGCAAATGTAGTCATGCAGATGGCAAGGCTGGTGCGCCCATTGCTTCTATGCCGGTTCGGAGCTTGGCAAATGTGGGGGCAAACGTGCGAAAGTGGAATCACGCAGATGTCAAGGCGGGCCCTGAATCGGACCAAGGCCGGTGCCTTCGTCGCTTCCATGTCGGCTTGGAGCTTGGCAATACAATTTTGAAGGCAAATGTAGTCATGCAGATGGCAAGGCTGGTGCGCCCATTGCTTCTATGCCGGTTCGGAGCTTGGCAAATGTGGGGGCAAACGTGCGAAAGTGGAATCACGCAGATGTCAAGGCGGGTCCTGAATCGGGCCAAGGCCGGTGCCCCCATCGGCTCTATGGCGGCTTGGAGCTTGGCAATACAATTTTGAAGGCAAATGTAGTCATGCAGATGGCAAGGCTGGTGCGCCCATTGCTTCTATGCCGGTTCGGAGCTTGGCAAATGTGGGGGCAAACGTGCGAAAGTGGAATCACGCAGATGTCAAGGCGGGTCCTGAATCGGGCCAAGGCTGGTGCCCCCATCGGTTCTATGGCGGCTTGGAGCTTGGCAACTGCGGGAAAGTGTAGTCGCGCAGATGGCAACGGGCGCTGATTTGGACCAAGGCTGGTGGTGCTCCAATGTCAGGAGCCTATGTCATGACTGGCGCTTCTATGCCAGCGCGGAGCTTGGACAATGTTGGAATGCGATTGTAATATGCCTTAATATGCCTTCCTATGCAGCCCGAATTGGACCAAGGCTGGTGCTGCAATGCCCGCTGCCTCTGTCATGACTGGCGCTGCTATGCCAGCGCGGAGCTTGGTATTGTAGAATGAAACAATGTTCTGGCCCTGGGCTTCCATCTCAGGCCAGTGCAACCGCAGGCATTGCGGGCGCTCTGTATGCAGGAGGTTTCATGGCTTGGCACTCAAAGGGTTCTTTGACTCTTGGATTTGAGGGTTGGCTCATGCTTTGCCTTCTTATCTTTTTCCTTGGCCTATCTCCAAGGACCAGTTTGACAGGCTGGACGCCAACCATGACGGAGTTCTGCAGCGGGGAGAGTGGGATGCTGCCACTGGGCCCGCCGTGAACTGCACGAACTGTGGCAACGTCTTCGCGGCCGACGCCAACTTCTGCCGCAAGTGCGGCGTGCAGCGCCCGCAGCATGCCATGGTGGCCAGCGCCTCAGACGCCTCAGACCGCCCGCTCCAACGGCCTAGCTGCTAAGCTTCATGTGGTGGTAGATGTTGGTAGTGCTTTGTTGAGTCCATTTAGATGGGCATGCAAGTCTCGACTTTCGCGGCCATGCGTTTTGTTTCAGGCCGAGCCGACTGCCACTGGCTACTAGGGCCTTGGTGCCTAGGTGATCAATTACATTCAATCAGCTTGAGACTGGATCGCCCAGGTGAGCGCTTTTTCCTCGAGAATTGTTTTGGACTTTATCCCTCATAGCTACTCGAAGGCGCTGGCATGTTCATGTCACTGTCAGCCACTTCAGAGGCAATCGGATGCGTTTGCGCGGCAGGTAGTTGGCATGAGGATTTTGTTTAATGTCCCCGCGCTCAGAAGCGGCATTGCTATTCTCGAGCAAATGAGCACGTCGCAATCCTTTCAGGAAGACAGTCGCTTTCCTTGCTTCACTACAGGTGCGCCAGCAAGAGAAACGACTTCTTGCTTTGATTTTTGTGCTCTGGCTGAGGAGCTGTGACCCCAGACAGGAATAATGAATGAATGTGGCAGCCACAGTTTCTGTAGTATCTGCTTTTGCGCGTTGCTCAGACCAACGTTATAGAGTGTGCCCATGAATCAGTGTCCCAGCAGGGAGAGCAGCGCACAAATTCACGTACCCATAGTGTGGGGTTTGTGACTAGGTGCGCAGCAAACAGCAAAGCCAATGGGGCTGAACCATGCCAACGTTGCGTTTGCCTCAAGTCAGTTCATTCGAGTCAACCAGGGTACGCTTACATTTTCTGATATGCTTTTTGCTTGCAAGCCAGGTCTAAGACCCTATTCTCATTGAGGTCGCAGGTTGTTCGCCATTTATATGTTAGGTCACTTGCAGCCACTTGCAACCAGTGGCTCTATGTGGCTGCCCAAGATGCCGCTGCAAGTGGCTGCAAGTGTTGCCTTTTGTTCGTCACTTTAGACTTTGCACAATGCTTTTCATCTTGGTCTGAGCTAGCTAGCACCTGCAAGGACATGCTGACTTTGAGTTTCTGAAGATGAATGATATGCCAGCTATGCAGTTTTTGGCTGGGCCCATAGGTCGTTTTGGTTCGGCATTGCCTCCTAGTTCTAGGAATGTGTGTTGAGTTCTCAAACCTGTTAATCAACAATAGGCATATGTAGACATCCAGTCCATGCGAGATGGATCGTTTGTTGACTGGTGCATAACATGTGCAGCTGGTTGGTGCTGGACTTATGTGTCTATCAGCTTGACAATGCGCACCTCGTCGCCCCTGGCATTCTCTCCCAATGTGGTGGTTGCCATCCAAAACTCGATGCGACAGAAAATGCTCGCACAGCCCGTCGGCTAGTTTGCTCGCCGGCTCCTCGCTTTGGAGTGTGTTGGAAACGAGGACCGTGAACTGACAAGTCAGTGCTCAAGGCAGGTCCAGGGATAGAAGCCATGTACGCCGACATGAGGCCGGGCCATGCAGGCAAACGGAAAGGTCTCACTCGGGCAAGTTGATCGGACTTTCAGCAAGGCAGAAGCCTAGCCTGGCGACGCAGCAGCTGCGGATGTTGGCGAGGCGGTCACCTCAGTTGGCCCTAGAGATGCTGCGGGAGATGGCCAGCTGCCTGGCGGAGGCCCCGGATGGAAAGGTTTAATCACAGCGTGCAGCGAGAGAGAGAGAGAGAGAGAGAGCGAGAGTGAAAGAAACATATATATGTTGACAATGCTGGATGCCAGGTTGAGCACCTGAGACAAAGCCAGGTGTTTTCCCGTTTCAATTCACGAAAGCCAGCGTCAGCAAGCTTGAGTTCCTACTTGCTTTGCAAGTGTGCCGGATGGCTGCACCACTGTGTAATTACATCACACGAAGCCGCCGCTTTGTGCGATTCCAATCACACGCACCCCCACTATATATTGATAAAGCTGACTCGCAGCTTCGCGCTACCTTTTCTACCACCAGCCTGTGTCCTCTTCGGACAGGCTCAAGGGCCCTTGGGAGCCAATCAGAAACGGCAAGCACACTCAAGTACAAACCACATGAACCACATGTAGGGCCTCGGGCCTCATGAGGTGCCATGGTTTTCACACGCCCTCTGTGTGAGGCGTTCTCCCAAGGTCTGTTGAAGTCCAAATGCCTAGGCCCTCACGTCGCGTTGGTATCCAGCACTGATAGGCTCGGTCCAACCAGTGGCAACGAAATGCAGCGCCAAGTCGGGACCCTGAGTGGAAGGATTCGGCGGGCGCATCGCGGTAGCGGTTCTGGTTCCAGCTGAGGTACTTGCAAACTTCTTTGTTCTTGTAGTTCTCAGACACTATCTCCATGTAGGTCCAATTCTTACTGGCCCACCGCGGCAACTTGACGATGGTCCGACCCCACTCTTGCACAGAGGAGACACCCTTCGGCAGCGTCACTGTGACATTCTTGGCCACAGTGTCGGCTACGGATGTGGCAGTGCTCGGCATCGGAGTCGGAAGCACTTTGGTCACATATGACGGGCCGTTCAGTCCAGATTGACTGGCATTGGCATTCTCAGCGAGCTCCCACTCTGACACCGTGTCAGGGGAATCCGGAATCGGCTGAGTTGTGCCATCACGGCGGCGCTTGCTTGCATCTGACATATTTTCCGGCACGTTGCTGATGAGGGTGAACACGCTCTCCTGAGACTCATTGATCGTCTCAGCCAACTGCACCGCCTGCCCATGACGGACGGCACGGCCAACCAAGTTCACAACCAAACTGATCTCCTCGGAACTCAGGGGACCAGCCATGACTTGGAGGACTGGTGCGGACACGCTACTTGACAATCAAGGCTCTGGCAAATTTTGGATTACACAGGCAGGGTTTACGGAAGGTCCTTTACCCCATCAAAGCAACCTTTTGATTCGACTGCTCAAAGTAGGAGGCTGTACAGTTTCCTACGGAGCTTAAATGTATAAAACACGCGGACCTGCAAGCTTATCCTTATAAGCTATTACCCTACTTATCGCACTGCGGACAATGCATACCAAGCTGGGATTTGATTGCAAGTCACTCAGCAGGCTTGGAGGTAAGCTTGGCCTTCTCCTTGCGGCCTGACTCGCTGCATGGTTTGATGTGGTAACGGAGGTTGCGAAGCATATGAGTTTGGCCAAGGCATCCGAAACCACATTGAGGTTATTTACCCAAAAGGTCTGGATATTCTGAGTTACCATGGTTCCTTTTGCAATGGCGTAGTCGATCTGCAGCCTCTTTTCAACTGACATGGCTTGGCTGCAACAGGACCGGGTGAGTGCATCGTACAGACCCTTGGAATCTATCACGGGGGCTGCCTTATTCACAGGTTTCATTTCACGGAACTCCCGTGGTGTCACTCCCCTGAGGGTTTCCTCCATGAGTGCTTGAAACATCTCAATGGCATCCAAACCGTTTTGGGCAGCCAACGTTTCAGCGGCGATGGAAGAGCGGACTACTTGGCGGAGCTTCTTACTGCTCCAATCCACGACCCAACACGGTGCGGGCTTCTGGTCAAGGATGTCCTTGTGAGCAAGGTATAGGAGGTACCCACCTTGGGATTGACCATTGGTCCTAGTGCACCAACCTGCATCGGAAACGCAAATGATGCGCCAATCTTCAATGGGCACACTGGAAGGAAAAGTCATGACGGCTTTCGTTCCTTCATCTCGGTGATGGCTTTATTGAAGAGGGTCACATGACTCACGGTACCTTTATTTTGCACACCTTGCAGGTAAGATGCTAAGAACGCCTGATCCGGTCAGGTGCTGTTTGACACCCAGGCCAACTGGCCAGCGCATGTACGGAGAATTGCGGCATTCTTCAGGGGCGTCCTTGCTGATCTTAAAGGCTTAGTGTGCACAGGGTCCAGAGGAATCAATGTATGACTCTTGGCCTATCTCAATTTGAAAGGTCCTTGAACACCGGCGGATCTCGATTCCTGTGTACCGAATGGTAAATGTCCTGAAGTCACCAAACGGAAGCTTCTTTCCAAGACGGGCAAGTACATTGTCCATTTCGGGGGTTCCTCCTCCAATGATATCATCAACATGAATTCCACAGATTCCTACCAAGACTTGATCTTTGCGGATGGTGTACAAACACGGATCGAGCTGGCTACCCGGGCGAGTTCACGTGAAAGACGCAAAAACCAAGCTCTCAGAGCCTCGGCAGCCCGTAGGCTGCCTTTTCAAGTCGGAGATAATCTGCATCACTCAGGCCCATCCATTCCTTGATCTCGGATGGTGGCTTAAAGTAAACATCTCTGCAGTTTGGATCTCCAGACAAGAAGGCTGTCTTGATGTCGGCGCCCCACAGACGCCATTTCTTGGCAGCGCAAATGGACAGGATGAGGCTCCGACTTTCCTTGCGGAGGGTTGGAGACTCGGTGGCAATCTTACCAAGCTCGGGGTCTTGCCACCCTATCAAAACAAGTCTAGCTTTGGGGACCTTGGAACGGTCATCCGGGTCACTAGACTTTTTCCAGGTGAGTGCCCAACGGGCTTTGATCACTCTCTCCTTGGGGATGCGCCTAGCTTGACAGACAGAGGTTACCTTGTTCTCTACCCACGAATTCCATTCCTTGCGCATGGCCTTCAGGAAGAGCTGCTGTTCATGCTTTTGGAGCCTACGGAAATTTACCTCAACCTAGCCTTGCTACCCTTGACTTCAAAGCATTGCTCTAGCAAAGGCCAAAGGCACAAAGGATCATCGGTGATGTCCTCCGGAAGAACATCCAATGCGATCTCAAGCACTTCGTGCCCGATTGGCACTGATGAGGGTTGCGACTGCACGAGCAACTCATCATCATCGGATCCAGGCACTGGCGCTTGGCTAGCTTCGGACTGCGC